TGATAAGTGTGGGAGAGACGCGCCGCTCATAGTTTGAGTAGAAGAGGGTCCCCAAATATCAGAATGGATAAGATCAAATGGTGCAAGAGAAATAGAGTCACTTTTATTAAACGACAAAGCAGGTTGTTTGGCAAGTTGATAGGACACACAATCTAAAGCATCAGAACTTACAGGACCTAAATGACCATTAGAAATTAAAGATTTTAAACGACCAACAGAAAGATGGCCTAAACGACAGTGCCAAAGCTGAAAAGGAGATAAGGGAGGAGCAGTGGTAGCAGTGGTAGGAGCGGTGATCTGAAAGGAATCCGGAACATGAAGATGGATGAGTTCGTAGAGACGTCCATGCTTACGGCCTATCCCAAGAGTTTGCCCCGTCCAAGGGTCCTGCACCAAACAACCAGTATGAGAAAAGGTAACAGTTAGACCATGCTTACATAATTGACTAATGGAGATAAGATTTAAAGTAAGAGTAAGCATAAGATATACATGTAATAAAGATAAGTGAGAGGTGGAAATAGAACCAACATGACTTACGGACAGAAGAGACCCATCAACAGTATGGATAGAAGGAACATGAGGAGTAGAAGAGAGAGGAGTAAAAACAGTAGGGTCAAAGGTCATGTGATTACAACAAACGGAGTCAAAGTACCAGGAAGTGTTACCTGCGGTGACAGACAAAGCAGTAGATGGAGGAGTACCGAAATTCTGCCAAAAATGTTGAAACATGGCTTCGACATCTGTTTGAGAGAAGACTGGAGTGGAAGGGTCTATAGGGACAGAGGAAGGTAAATCCTCTGAGGCAGCAGCAGCAGTGCGTTGAGCAAGCATTGGTTTAAACGGAGTCCCAGAACGGTGAGAGTTGCTGCGGGAAAAATGCCCGGTGGAAGGACCATTGCGAGAGGCACGGGTGGGATTGCGGAAGCAATCTTGCTGGAGATGACCAGGACCAGTCTTGTTGCAAAATCGACAAAGACAAACTGGACAATTAACCAGAAGATGAGTCGATGGAAGACTGCGGTTGTGACAATAGTTGCAGAGAGTTGACTTCTACAGTGAAGGTGGTGAAGGAGAACTCTGACTCTGGGGAGTAGCAAGAACAGAGTCCACAGGGTGCAGATAGAGAGTACCAAACCTGGTTTCCTCGGACAGTAGTTCAGAAATTACTTGCTCAAGAGTTGGTAAAGGAGTGCGATAAAGGAGAGATGCGCGTACTGGCTCAAAACGGGGAGTGAGAGCCATGAGAAACTGAACCAAGCGATGTTGGTCACGGTAAGTAGTAAACAAGGCAGCATCCTTAGTACAATCTCATGGAGGTTCAGAAAGAGCGAGCTGATCCCAAACATAATACATTTGGGAGAGGAAATCATTAATGGTCTGAGTTGTATCTTGGCGCATACGGTGAAGATGACTCAGAAGCTGATATTGGTGAGCAAGGCCAGTAGTTTGATAGCGTTCTTGTAAAAAATCCCAGATGACCTTGGCTGGAGAGGAAGCAGAGTCAAGTTGGAACCGACCAAACTGAAGGCTGATGGATGTAATAGAAGTATTGCGAAGCCAAGTGATGATCTGATAGTTTTTACTATCCCAATCCTCCAGACGGTCGACATATTTGGCAGCGGATTCCGTGGTTGCTTGGATGGGTTTGCACACATCCACAGTGATGATGCGCCAAAGTTTCTTTCCTTTGAGGAACCCAGACATAGCTTGTGCCCATAAGACATAGGTAGTCCCGTCAAGAACAACAAAAATATGGTGGTTAGAGGAGTCCAGGTGATCCATGAGGGAAGAGCAGTACTATCGAGGTAGAATCTGAAAAATCCGACGTTACCAGTGAATTCAGAGGGTCGAAATCAGTGGAAAAGGAGTGAACTGACCCAAAAATATGACCAGAAAGGCACTAAATTGGCCGGTCAAAGGGAGTTGACTGTGCTGGTCAACAATGTTGGTCAAACAGGATGATGTCACGACTGCAGAGGTGCGGCGCACGTCAGCAGAGAAGGGCGAGGCGTACGATAGCAGAGGAGAACAAGCGGCGCACGAAAGCATCCAGGGCTGACGTCGGCTGACGTCAGAAACACGCGGCTCACGTTAGCAGAGGAGGCCACGGCGCACAATAGCACGGGACAAGTGTAGGAGGCGCGTAGAGCGCGTCTGAGAACGAGGAAGCACGTGGCTGAAAGTTCTGGCGGCGCGTGGAGGCGCGTGAAACGTCGGATGAGGATGAATCTGGTGGATTTGGATTCGTCGTGAGGAGACGAAGGGTCTGGTGTGGTCCAATCTGTAATTGAGAGAAGGACGAGATAGGCTACAATCTACCAAACAGAAAATGTGATCCAGCGGAAGAAGAGACTAGGCAAAATACCTGTGCTCTGATACCATGAAAAATATGAGAGAGTGATACTGAAAGAGCAAGTAAGCTCTATATTTCAATGTGTATTAAAAGAGTAAGAAGATGCTCCATTATATAGGAGCTGCTATACAACATCATCATGAGATACAAAACATATAAAAAGGAAAAGAGACCGAAAGCAGCCGAAGAATCCTATTCTAATCCTATATCTAGCTGTGATTGCATAAATATATTTAATATATACATTATATATTAACAGCTTCAAACATGAAATATCAAATATATATAACTTCAAAACAAACAAATAAATAAATTCAAACATGATTTTTTTTTTATTATTATTAAATATGAAGATCACTGAGTTTGATTCTTTAAATGGAATTATTAACCAATAGGGAATAATAGGATCAGCAGTAAGCTTCTTTGTTCAAGCATGGTGCATTTCCCGTAGAGGTCCGCTCTTCTGTGCTATGTTCAGCCCTCTAGCCACCGTTATAGTAACCATCTTTGCTTCAATATTTCTACACGAAGAGATCTATAACGGCAGGAATGATTATTAATTTTAGTATTGAATTAGATTTGTCTTTGAGCATTTTCTCGGAACAAATTCAGATCTAAAATTGGCTTTGGTTTCACTTCAGCCTCATAGGTGCTGTTTGTATGAATGTTGGATTATATGTTGTGCTATGGGGAAAAGCCAAAGACCTTGAAGAACTACCAAAGTCGCAAAATGATCAGGCAACAAATGTACAGATCTTGGTGGAAGATGAATTTTCCAAGAAGATGACTTACAATAATGGTTTGGAGGAACCCTTACTGTCATGAGAAATCAGCAAAAGTTGATCATGTGAATCTGAATGAGTTAGTAAAAATACTAATATGTGTTTACACGATTTCACTTGGCTTTCAATAACATTGTAAAAGAGCACTAGGCATAATGTTCAAATGTGTGCTCCAATTGGAAATAGATCATAGTTTTGTAACAATGAGATGAAACCCATTTAAAACAGTAAAACGTCTCTGTTTTAATAGTAGATAAGAGTGAAGAATTTTGTTCGCCCAATTTGACTAATGTGAAACCAAGTCCAATAATGCTTACTTTTGGCTTGGCTTGGCTTGTGTGTTTACTTCAGTTTACATACATTAACGTAAACCCCACCAAAAAGAAGTCTAGCTACATATCTACAAAGTCTCATATGAGTCATGACAACAACAGACCTACATTGTCCTATGAAATTAGGTAATCTCTATATTTCTTCCACACCACTCAAACACCTTGAAATTTTCAACCCCACTTCAGTTTTATATTTAAGAGTCCCAACACAACACTGAATGATGACACTCCCATCACACAACAAAAAGTCATTTGTTTTTGAATAAAGAATGTAGGACCCGCTAAATCAAGTGAAGTAAACAAGCTAACCACCATACATTATTATCATCTACTATACATGACCATAGATATCAAGCTTATCTTCCAATTTTAATAAACAAGCCATCCCATACTAAGGCCAAGTTTGACATCCTCCAAAAAATTTAAAAAGTCAAAAAATCACTATCCTATTTAAGTCACATCATCTTATTTAAGTCACATCACCTCTCTAACACATCACTTCAAACCCAACCCAAATCCAATCCATATTTCATAAAAAGTCAAAAAGTACACTTATTTAGTCTTCCCAAACTTGGCCTAATTAAACAGAGGGTCACCACTACCACATTAGGTGGTATGATGATGTATGTTATAGACCAATTAATGTGTCTGAATGATTTAATCCACCATTAGATTAGAGCCGTAAAAGCAGATGAAAACTAGGGAGGTTATAAAAATGACATAATTATTTTAAATTAAGAACATGAGATTCATCTAGCCAATCTTCAAATAATTGGGATAAAGGATTCTTTGAGCTGAGTTACATATAAACCAAAGAATGCACCTACCAGCAGTCGGTTCTAGTGTTTTTAACCTAGCACTAGCACAATAATGGCGAGCCAACAAAGGAAATGAGATTTTAATAATTTTTATGTGATTTAATTATATGCATATAGACACAGGGAATGCAACCAAAGCCTCCATAGAATATATGTCAAATAACAGATAAAACTGATAATAAGAAAAGTAATAGACAGAAATATACAAGAAAGAAAGCAACTGGGTACAGATTCTTCAGAGACTAGTATAGAATACAACAGACCAGATCAGTAGAAGCCCTAAGCCCTAATAAAACCTCACGGCTATGCGGCTAATAACATAGTAACAACTAGCGGAAATCCATACATTCAGAGCGAGTTTCAGGGCCGTCTTTTCCACATAAAATTGTGTTCCCTGTTGTTCCTGAAGGCACAGCAACCAATTGAGTAGACAATGACGAGGATGACGAGGAATATAATGTTGATCACAGCCACCTTCTTCCAATCATGCTTGATACTATCCAGAAGCCCAGCCTTGCATGATTGACAGTCAAAGCACAGAATACTTGGGTCATTGTTCCACAGCTTGCAATCTGAATTTGTATAAGAAGATATGGCTGAGGTTGTCCAGTTGGTTGGGCTAATATACGTGAAATTGCAGTCATTTGAAGGCTTGCAGCAACCCGACTGCAAAGGAACACAACAAATACCAAACAAAACAAAACAACCATATAGAAATACATCAGAAGATGCTTACTACTTTATTTATAATAAATAAAAAATGAAACAAAATAGAACAACACAATATACATTTGTAAGTAAAATTATATATCTATTTGATTTCTTGGAAAGTTAAATGTTGGCATTGAAGAAAATTCCAGAAGAAGCAAAAGAAAGCTTAAATTAAATTCTGATGGCGTCACACAATTATTCCAACTCAACTGCTGCACAAAACCCATATGAAACCAATTAGTCGAGTTAGAATATGCTGCAGAAATTGAACCAAGTACTAAACTTTAAGCACCCCAACCCCACCCCCTTCCATAAGAAGAGAAAATTAAAAATAACCCCAAAAGATAAAGATTAACCAACAAGAAAGGTCAAATGCAACAGCTAAATCAGAGCCAAGGGCGCTAATTTGTATGAAGAAAACTTAAATGCAAAAAGTGGTGTTACAGAATCACACTGCAGGTGAACTTAAGAAGGCAGAGGAGAACTAAAGCAATCAAGAAATTGCTAAGCCAAGAAACAAGAGTCGCATTAAAGAGAAAATGCTAGAAGTCATCAATTGAATGGCAGTACGAAAGTTACCCTAGCATGCACAAGATTAAAGGAAGAATAGTAACGGTAACTGAAATTCATCAAGAACTCAACACCCACAAATCCTATACCATTAACCAATCAGTATGTAAAGCAAATTCGAACACAATAAAAAGAATCAATTAAACAATCTTCCATGACAACCAAAATTTTGAGTAGCATGGACATGGAGAGAAAAAAACAAACACACACACACCATGTTCAAAAGCCTTAGATTTTTCAAAGAAATCCCTCATCTAATGATAGAAGGCATCAACAGCAAAGTATATAACCATGAAAATTCCAAAAGTAACAAAAGTTGCAGTTAAATATGACATATTAAAGTGAAACCTAAAAAAAGTTTCAAAAATTAAAAATAAATCAGAGAAAAAGAAAGAGAAATCACATGAAAGGAGCATATGATATAATATATATATATATATATACCTGAACAGAGGACAAATTCTCGAGATAGAACTGGGTAACCGTGGTGTTAGAGCCAGCATCAATCAAGCTTTGGCAGACCTTACCGTCCTGCAAGCAACTCTTGATCTTGGTCCAATTCTTGGTACTATTAACCCTCTTCTGCAACCAATTGGAGTAGTCCCCGAGTCTATACTCCTTGTAGCCCTTCCCTGACAAAGCCTCTCCGGCTCCCTTGTTGGTGACGACAAAGGCAAAGATGGTGAAGCAGAAAAGGAGGAGGATTAGGAGGAACATGACGAGGAGGTAGAACCAGAGAAGCCATGAGACCCGACAGCAAGCGCCGATGAGACCGGCGAGAGAGACCACCATCAGGACTATCCCAATAGCGATGAGGGGCTTCTCCAGGAACTTCTCGCAGTCTGTTGACCCCTGTCGGCTCAGCCATATTCCTGCCCACAGGATTGGTATGGAGAAGAGGAATGTCAGAAAATTCAGAATCCCAATCAGGTTGTTGCTCAGTTTAAACATCTCTTCTTCTTCTTCTTCTTCTTCTTCTTCACTTCCAAACTTCTCCAACAACAACAACTACTACAATTACAATTTTGCTTCTTTCTTTCTCTCACTCAAAACAACCAGCCAAGCCAACCAACTTCGGCAGACACACAGAAATTAAAGGACAGACAGAATTTGGAAAAGATCAATGAATGGAATAATGGGGTGTTCGCCACCTTAGGGCTTGTTTGGAAGGTGCTACCGTTTGAATATTTTTTTTTATCTTATTTATTTATTTTTTAAAATTATATTATTTTTTTACTTTTTTTTATAATTTTTTTTAAAAAAATTTAAAAATATACTTATTTAATACTTTCCAATCAACTCTTTTTCACGGGCTCTTTTTTAGATAGGTAGATTTAGGTTCAAATCTATATAATAAGATAGGAGGGTTTTTGAAAATATACCAAATGTATCAGAGATACATTTAATCTCAAAGGCTCAGATCAACTCTAAGAAAAATCAATGGTTCAAATCAATAGATGATTCCCGCCCAAACAATTCCCCTCACCTTTCCACCTATCCACGTCTCCTCCCCACCTTCCCTCTTTATCTCTCTCTCCCTCTCTGTTCTTCTGGATCAGTTGAAATCTGATCTAGGTTGAAGAAGAAAAAGAAAAAGAGAACAATAGCAGGGGAGAGCAAGAGAGAAGAAGCAACGAAATCGTAGGGGAGATCAATCTCGGAGTTGGCTAGGGTTTACGGTTGAGCAAAAGAGAAGAAACAGCTGTTATTATACAGATAGATATTCAAGTCTCAAAACCCTAACATGTATATATATATATGCTCAGATCTAGTTGGGAAGATGGTAGTTGGGAACAGACTCTGATTTATCGAGACATGTATTGCTAGACTCCGAACTCAATGGCTGACCAGAATGGTGGGAACAGTGGGTTATTTATCTCCGGAGTTGACTTGGTCTGAAAAGTCGACTACAAGCTCCGACGTGTTCGTTCTTGGGGCTTTATTGCTTGAGGTTGTGTGTAGAAGAAGACCGATTGAATCGAAAGCTTTGCCAGAGGCGTTGATTTTGGTGGATTGGGCGTGAGAGGGCTGGAAAGTGGGTTCGATTTTGGAGGTGGTAGATCCAAGATTGGGAGGTGAGTTTGATGAAATTGAGGTTGTGGTGGTGGTGAAACTTGGTTGATGTGTTCGAATAATGTTCAGGTGAAGAGGCCGAGTATGAAACTTCGATGAGTCTCTCTCCAAGGTCTTCACCCTCACCGACCTCACAAATCGAAGATCGCAGATATTCATCGACACAACTCCGGTATAAATCGATACCAAGACACTGGAAAGCCTCTACGATGTGTTGTGAGTGAAGAGAAATGCGCCGCCGTCACCATGGTTTTCGATCGGATCTAGTGTGGATCGCTCTGATCGAGAGAGAGAGAGAGGAGTCTACCACCAACTTCACTACCACTAAACATCGACGCCGCCATCTACCACCAACTTCACTCTCTGCTTCGAACCCCCCTGGGAGCTCTCTGGTACCCCCCTTTCTCTCTCTCTCTCTCTCTCTCTGTATGTATATATATATATATATATATATGCTTCAAGTTTTTTATTTTTAATTTTAGTTGGATAAATTGTTGTTTGTTGGTGGAAGGCTATCAAAGAGATAGCTGATTTTTTAGATTGCAGCTCCTCACATTGTGAAGCTGAAGATAGCCATGTTATAGCCAATTCAAAGGTTATCAAATAAATAGCTTTTTTCTTGGTTTGTAAATCTTTCTCTTTCTCTCTTTATATGGATGTGTCTGTTAATATTTTTGTGATATATCATAGTTTCTTGGGTGGAAGCCACATTGATGAACTTTGATAACTCCTTTTGGTCCTAAATAAAAATTGACATTGTAACTGTGTACTGAAATATGCTTCAGGTTTTTTATTTTTAATTTTAGTTGGATAAATTGTTGTTTGTTGGTGGAAGGCTATCAAAGAGATAGCTGATTTTTTAGATTGCAGCTCCTCACATTGTGAAGCTGAAGATAGCCATGTTATAGCCAATTCAAAGGTTATCAAATAAATAGCTTTTTTCTTGGTTTGTAAATCTTTCTCTTTCTCTCTTTATATGGATGTGTCTGTTAATATTTTTGTGATATATCATAGTTTCTTGGGTGGAAGCCACATTGATGAACTTTGATAACTCCTTTTGGTCCTAAATAAAAATTGACATTGTAACTGTGTACTGAAATATGCTTCAGGTTTTTTATTTTTAATTTTAGTTGGATAAATTGTTGTTTGTTGGTGGAAGGCTATCAAAGAGATAGCTGATTTTTTAGATTGCAGCTCCTCACATTGTGAAGCTGAAGATAGCCATGTTATAGCCAATTCAAAGGTTATCAAATAAATAGCTTTTTTCTTGGTTTGTAAATCTTTCTCTTTCTCTCTTTATATGGATGTGTCTGTTAATATTTTTGTGATATATCATAGTTTCTTGGGTGGAAGCCACATTGATGAACTTTGATAACTCCTTTTGGTCCTAAATAAAAATTGACATTGTAACTGTGTACTGAAATATGCTTCAGGTTTTTTATTTTTAATTTTAGTTGGATAAATTGTTGTTTGTTGGTGGAAGGCTATCAAAGAGATAGCTGATTTTTTAGATTGCAGCTCCTCACATTGTGAAGCTGAAGATAGCCATGTTATAGCCAATTCAAAGGTTATCAAATAAATAGCTTTTTTCTTGGTTTGTAAATCTTTCTCTTTCTCTCTTTAAATAGAAATTGACGTTGTAACTGTGTACTGAAATGTATATATTGAAATTTCTGACTGTAGGGGCAAAGTTTCAAGATCAAAAAATGTACCCATGTGTGCTCCCTACCACAGTTAGAGGGACTGTGTGTATTGAAATTTCTTTCATGAGTTGGCATATCTAAGTTTATACTTCAAAGAAATGTACCCATGTGTGCTCCCTCACTCTAAAACTCATTAATGTACCGATGGTTGCTGATTTTGTTTTCAAGTGCTAAACTTTTTCTGTGTTTTCGTTCTCTTCTCATTCTTATTTTATTATTTTTTTATAACTTTGTTTTCAACTCAATGAGGAGTTATCTTTGTTTGCTGCAGCATTGTCATCTAATTGTGATGATATAATAGATTTTACTTGCAAGAGTGATTGTGTTTTTCATGTTAAAAAATTGTCACTCACAATGGAGAGTTGAAACAGTGATTGTATTTTATTTTATTTTTTGGTCAGAGTGATTATGATTAATTGCTATTTACTGTCTGTTAATGGGAATCTTATATAATGGTCTTTCTAGCATGATTATTAGTAGCTGATTGGTGTAAATTGGTTTGCTGTGCTTGTGTTTAGCGTGTAGCATTTCTTTTTATTCATTTATTTATTTATTATTTTTTTTTGGGGGAGGGGGGTCCTAGCAAGAGTGTTTGGTTTGTTTTTCTATATGCTCATAGAAATTATTTTTGTGTTTTTTGGCATTCATATTTGCGAGTTGTGATGTCACATATGTTTGGTTACTTATTGGTAGTTGTAAAGAAGTAACCTACTGTTAAGAGATGGAGGCTTCCCTTCCTTGCATTGTAAAAGGGGAAAGGTGAGAGAAATGGATAAATAATTTAGCTATATTTCATTGACATTTCCCTTACCTTTTTTTTGTTTTTTTTTTCTTCAAATTCCTATCCAAATCCATGATTTGGTACTTTTATTTGGAACATATGATTTTTTTTATTGTTTTATGTTAAACTATGTTATTTGATTTTGTTTTTGTTTCTGACGATTATATTTGAGTTTCGATAGAGTTGTTTTGGGCAAATTTCACTCTCCCCTCTTTCAAATTCATTTTTTTTTTTATAAAAATGTTTTAGTTGAACTGAAGGTGTTCAATTTAGGTGTGATTATAGAACTTACATTCTCTATTTTTAGATTTTTGACCTTTTTATTGTATGGTGATGATGACTTAAATTTTTTTTTAAAAAAAAGATAAAAAGACATAGAGCAATTCAAGTATTGGTTTTCTATTGTGGGTTAATACTCCTTATATCATAGTGGTACTTTTATATATATTTTCATTTTGTTATTCAATATTAGGGGCTTCTCTAAATTTCATCAATTTACATACAAAGTTTAATTGTACTAATGCATTGTCACAAGTTGTTTGACAAAATAATAGTATGAGAGATTTTTTTCTTTTTTCTTTTCAATCTTTGAGATATATTATTTTTGAGTTTTAGCTGAAGTTCAATGGAACCAACCACTGGAATAGAACAGGCAGGGATTCATTGACTAAGGAAAACAACAGTGGTGTTATAGGGTATGCTAGCCTTAAATCTCCTCTTGCAAAGGTACAATTTTCTCCTAACTGGTTTTACATGAGTATTGCTCATAAAAAAAAAATAATAAAAAATTGTATGTTGTTTTTGTGTTTTTGAATGCGGGCAGAGTTGAAATGTTATTAGTAACAACAGTGGATAGTGGAGGAGAGCTCCGCAATAAATTTTCTAGGCTTGAATGAGGAAAGAGCTCTATTGATTTTTGATGTAAGTGGGATTACCTTAAAAAGTTGGTTTCTCGAACTCGGCTCACAAGGTAACGTGAACTGGTTTTGTATCTCTCTATTTGGTTGTTTGACAATGCCAAAATCCAGTCCAGTGTTTTTTTCCTGGTTTCATTCAGATTTTAGTTTTTTTTTCCCCCGATTTTCCCTGCTCTATTTTTGACCAAAATAATCTGCTGTTGTGTGTGTGCAAGTCTTTTTTATTTGTATTCCAAGTTTGATTTTTTTTTAAAATATGTATTTGTAAATGGAAAGTAATTTTTTTTCCAAACTTAGAATATGTTTTGTTCTCTCATTTTTGGGTGTTTGGGATTGTTTTCATGCATTCCTTTCTTTCCAAGGTCAGTTTTTTTTGTGGTTTTTGTTTCACTCATCTGTGACAATATCATTTCTTGTTATTGTTTGTTTAGATTGATTAGGAATGTCCAATAACCAGGTTAGTTTTTTTTTGTGTGTTAATTTTAAATTGTAAAAGGAAAACTAAAAATCTGGGGTGTTGTTCCATGGTGTTTATCGGATTTCCGTCTGCTCTTGTTATTTTATTTTTTATTTTATTTTTCGTGTTCAAAGTTTGATTTTTTTTAAAGGAAAAGTATTTGTATATGGAAAACTTAGAAGTCTGTTGGGCTTTCAAATTCTACTGGGAAACTTTAGTTATA